GATGGATGGATGGATGGATGGATGGATGGATGGATGGATGGATGGATTCTCTCGCCAACAATGGATTCTCTAGGATGGATGGATTAACTATCCTGGATGGATGAGGTCCTCAACAACCTGATCAAAATGGATTCTCTAGCCAAGCGACGTGGCAAGCGCGTGTCGGTGCGGTGCGGGTCGGCACAAAGTTGCCATGTGTGCGCCGACCCTTTCGCAAACCGGATGTAGAATGCCTGGAAACCCAGCCCCAACCAAAAACAGTTCTGGATGTTTCCACAACCACAGCTTAGTTGTTTTCAAGGATCTCAAGCTCGCGCCATATTGGGTTCCAACCAAAACTGTTTCTGCTTCAAACTGGCTTTTCAGGCCCCCGACATGGCGTGGAAGTCACTGGCGCCATGGATCACGACTGATCCGTGGCAGATTTCGCGAGGATTCGAAATGGTCGTCGTGTGCCAGCTGGCCCCCCAAAAGCGGTGGGGTCACCGAGTCCAGACTGAGTATTTACTGAGTGACACAGTGTAAAGGACCTCCACTTCCCCACACTGGTGGAGAACTGCCATCATGGATGGGAACTATATTAAGCTACAATACTAATATATAACTAATAGAACCGCTTCTGTAAGGGCGACCAAGGGCGGTTCTTTTCAACTATACTTGGCCATCAGTGGCATTCTCGTATGTACCAATCACGAGCTTGTGCCACTTGCGCCAAGCCAAGTGGTTTCTTATGTCAGCATGTAAACAGGATCTAAGGCGCTCCTTGGCTTCCATATGAGCAGGGCTTACCGCTCCGAACTCCTTTATTCCACCATATTCCACCCCCCCTCCCGCTGTTCATTCTCCGATCGGTGCAGGTTCCGTGCCTGCGGCTCCTTGAGCAGCTTCAGCGCTGCCTCCCCAACCGCCTCGCGCGGCTCTGCCATGGCGGGGCTGCAGCGTTGCGGCGGTCGTGTGCACGTTTGGCGGTGAGAATCGCTGCTGTTGCATGGAGCCCTGTGGGACCAGGCAAAACGACCTGTGGTTATGTTGTTTTTATTGAGGTTGGTGTATCAGATGTGGTATGCAAGGGATCCATGACTGGTCTCGAATCTTTTTTCCTGTTGATAGTTCGTACGATATCAAGCAGCAGTGCCAGGAAGAAAATGAAACCCCGTGAATGGATCAAATGACTCATGTGGCGATGCAGAACATTGGTATGTGGCTGCATCTTGATGTCTTTAAGCTCACAATGTGGGTTCTTGTGAAAGAGAAAACGCCCCAAATGCCATTCAAAAAGCTGCGGCGCTGGGCCTAGATGCAAGTCCTGTGAGCCCAAATCAGATGTCGGAATCTGAAAGCACAACTCACCGCGACTAGGAGATTTGGGCGAGGTGACTGAAGCTCGTCGTCGGAGGCCTTCAGTCACCTGTTTCGCTCCTGTTGAAGGGAAGCAGCTGCGAAACTCGCCGCGTTGGTGGCCAGGGGGTTGGTAGGCCCTACGAGTAACAGGGCACCGCTGGTGCAGCATGACTGGTCTCTCAAGTCAAAAAAGTATGAGGCAAGTGCCAACGCACAAATGTGACTCAGCACCGGGTCTTTCCGCTGGAGAGCACAGAGTCAGGAGAGCACACGGAACTCAACCATTCCTGGATTCCTGCCCCCACCAGTTTGAGGATTTCACTATATAAACCAAGTCAACCTACCTTTGTCATGGTCTTGGCAGGTTCATTTTGCTTCAAGTGATCTGTTTGGATTCTTTCAGATGTGGAGCAACCCTCTCGCCCAAAACCTGCACCCGACTCGCCAAGAACCTCTTCGCTCCCCGACTGATGCTCCGGGAGTTGGTGGACCTGCTGCCCCGAGACCGTCACGTTGTAGGCGATGCCTCGAACGTGGACGGCGCGGTGCCGAAGAAAGATGGAAAGGCTGGAGGGAAAGTTGGATAAAAAGAGGCACCATCTTGCGTTATCTGTTGAATGCAGGCCATTCAGACATGCGCATGTTTTCATGCTCAACGTCGCGTATCACCGTATCACCCCGCAGCCCACCTGGCGTGCCCTTCCCACCTGCCCACCCGAAGCAAACCGGGCACCCTTGCCAGCAAAGCCAAACCTGACGACGCACCCGGTGTTCCTCTTTTTGAACAAATCCGAAGCTCGATATTCATGGGTTCATGGCTGCAGAGCCGCAAGTGTTTGTTGCAAAAACCGTGGTGGTATCTCTATGGGCTGGCGAAATAGATCTCTTGTTTTTTGCGTTGATCTCTGTTGGCTTTGCATATTCTTGAAACACCCGATGCAAATGACATACGTATTTACATGACAATCCTGTTCTGTCCGTGGGGCATGGACTGCACAATTTTAGAGAACACCTTCCTCTGGCGGACGGTATTCAGTCTATGTCACCTGTGGACCTTTGCTGCACTTCTGCATACGGCTTTCGGGACAAAAACCAAATCACCCACGTGAGAACTGTGCTAAGATGTCTTTTCTAAAGGGATCCAGCACCCCTAGGATCTTATGATTGTAAATATATATATATGTGTAATCACATTTATATAAAAATATATGCAGTAATCATATATATATATAGTTAGATTTACATGGGTGGTGCAAGAGGGACTCTTCAACTGGTTGGTGTACATTGTAACCTAATGATAAACATATTTATTTGATTTAGTGTCATCAACAGCATGCAAATGCACCCAGTGATCTGGCCGGGCAATCACTTGCGCATTGGGAACTAACATCACTTGCGCATTGGACATCACTTGCGAACTGGGCATCAATCACTTGTGCACTTACCTGCTTCCTAGCTCCAGGGTGGGGGCGGTGGATCACATGCCTCCATACATCTCTTTGACGCTTTAGTGGCAGCTGGGGGGGGTGGTGGGGTTGGTGGGGATCTAATGGAATGAGTGGCCCATGGCCACATCATCACATCTTACATCCTGGTGGGGTGGTGGGGTTGGTGGGGATCTTATGGAATGATTTCTTGGAAAATTTTCTTGCATCCTGAAGTTGATTTTACATAGTGGTGGAAAACACAATTCGGGTAAACTTACGCAAAATGTTTCTGCATGGGTGCGCTGTTCCCCACTTTAGTGTGGTACCGCTCCTCCTTCCTCCTCCTCCCGCCTCCCGCTTGCCACCCGCCACCAACAAACTTCCACCAGCCAATTGCCACCAACAAACTGCCACCAACCAATTGCCACCAACAAACTTCCAGCAACCAATTGCCACCAACCAGTTGCCACCAACAAACTGCCACCCACCAACAAATCGGATGTACGCCCTGGTGCTCCTGGGTCGCCGCCGCTGTGCCGGTGCGATTTGCGTGGTAGGCACAGCACTTTGGCGCTGTCCAAATGGTCGGATGTACGCCCTGGCGTCGCCCTCAGGGTCGTGGGCGTCCGCCGCTGTTTGCGTGGCAGGCGCAGCACTTTGGTGCTGTCCAGAGGGTCGGACGCACGCCCTGGGGGCCGTGATTTGCGTGGCAGGCGCAGCACGTGGGTGCGAGCGGGTTGGACTTCGCCTGTTCCGCGCCGGCCAGTCATCACAGAGGTGACGCAGAGCGAGGGTTGAACTTTGAACCTCTTGATCACTGCTCTTGCCCTGGACACCGCGAGCTGCCGATTTCAAGCTACAGCGCATTGCTGTCCTCTACGTATACATACGTAATCCATCAGCTGCGCACTCCACCACCATTCAGATGCACCCACACTTATACATACGCACGCAGGCACAATGAGACAAGCCAACAGCCACCAACCAACAACCACCAGCCCCATTTACTTCCAAACAACAACCAACAACCACCAACCTCACTCTCTTCCTTCCTCTAACCCCTCTTGTCTCCCCACGCCTCTGCTTCTTCTGGCTGCAGAGGTTGTCTGTGGTAAAGTTGTTAACATGTAGGATTATCCGCTCCAGTTTTTCTTTCCATGTTATTTATCTATTCAAACTATGTTTTAATACTAAAAATATAACCTCATATTTTTTTATATTCTTATTTTTAAAAAATATCTCATATTAATCTATGAGATATACATTTTGGTTTATACTTAGATATATTTGACAAACGCGAATAAAACCACAGCATACGCACGGCCGGTCCTCCTCGTTGATGGCGGCGAACTGCTGCGCCCATGAATTTTAGAATGAATAGGAGGACATCTCTCCAAAAAGGGTTGGAGCAAAAAGGCTTGTCGAGGCACGTGTTTGAGCTCTGGAGGACGCTGCGGCGACCATGAAAGATCTCAAGAATCTTGTTCCTTCACATGTCTGGTTGATTCGACCCGACTGACGAACCGATGAAAAGCAGGATACCCACGAGGACGGCGCACGTTGGCACATTAACCGTGTCGCTGTGAATGCCCGAAAAGAAATTCAAATGTGATTTGTTCAGTCTAGCCTCAGACTCAACAAACACAAAAACACCGTTACGTTACGAGACTACTCGAAGTCTGACCTCTTTTTACCCCTCGCGTCGCTCTGCGAACGCGTACCGAAGTCCCAGTCCCAACGCTTCGTCGAAGGGCTTGTCTGCCGACGACGCGCCGCTAGAAGCTGGTCGATCGACTCCGGCTAAAACCCAAGGGTCTATATATTGGCCACAAAAAATTGGCCGCAAGCTGAGGCGAGACTTCCGCGGTGCTGTCGACTCGCCGCTCGCACGTCCACCGGTGCAACCATACTCCGTGTGCAAAAACAGGCAATTTGCCCGTCTGCAAACATGCTTTCGTTTGCGAAAGCGCTGGGGTATCGGCGGGATGCCGGGAGGCACATGGCGCCGTATTCCCGGGTGAGACAATTAAAATGCGTGTAGCGGCTACTTGGCGGGAACGGACCTTCAAGGAGCACAGCTCGCAAGAACTTGTCAGTTCCCTCCCCATGCGGTTCGGGCATGCCCTTAAAAACTGAACAATCCACGCCGCCGGAACACTCGGCAGGGTCCGCGCAAGACTTGCGCCAGCACGGGCGGCCCCGCCGCCCGCCGGAAGTGACCGGCGGCTGCGCGCCTGAGCGAAACAAGACATACTACGCGCCACAATCTCCTTAGAGGTGGCACGTGCATCGGAGCCCAACCTTCCCAAAGAATTATCCCGCAAGAGACCCCAAACAGTGTGTGTGTGTGCCCCTTGTAGTCACAGGGATTCAGTTGAATTGTTTCTTCAGCAGGGGAACTGGGCACTCTGTGACTGACCCAGTTCAACGAAGCTAGGTCACAGAGTGGGATATTCGGACTGATCATCCGAACGTACCTGCGATTTTTCCGATTCGTATGAATGGCATGAGGCTAAGCCCAGAACCTCAAAGACATGTTGCTGCAGTCACGCACGGAACGCCGTCACTCTGTCGGATCGGTTTCGCCTTACGAGTTTGGCCCCTTCTCCGTTTGAGGACCCCGAGGCACCTGTGGTTCTTATTTGTATTCTGATTTGTATTCTTGGGAAATGGAACCCTAGGCCGGCGCGTGGCACCGCTATCAGTTCAGTACGCATATCCATAAGTGTGTTTGGCCTCGTGCCAACCCGGGATGAGCCCGCAGAGTGCCTCCCGTGGACCCGTCGAACGGGGGTTTGTCGCTCGAAAGAACTATGATTTTCGTCCCATCTTTGGAATTCCAAGTTGGCTCATGCCCTTACGTGACCACAGCAGGCAGAGGTGGCAGCCCTCGGGCAAGCCGTACGTGGTCGGAGCGACCGAAGTTTGTTCAAGGTTCATTGGAACCTGTCGCGAGCTTAGTCCCCCCCTCCTTCCCCTTCCCTCCCCTTTCTTTCCTTGCTTTTTGGGGTTTTCTTTCTTTCTCTCTTTCTTCTCCACCCTCCTTCCTTTTTGGGTGTCCCTGGCTGCTTTCGTCATAGCTGGGAACCCTTCTCCGCTCTTCCTTTGGTGTGTCCTTGGACGCATGCGTCGTAGCTGGGAACACCTTCCTTTCTTCT